GGCCCGTGGAGGCGTGAGGCGCAGCGCCGTGCTGCAGCTGTTGAGTTTGGACTCGAAGTGTGGAGTTGGGAGTTGGGTTGGGAGTGTGGAGGGCCACTCGCGGTGGGCGATGACCTAGCTTGCGCGCCTTTCAGTTTCGATCCCCGAAAGGGGAGGAGGGGCAAGGGGACCGGAGTTCCAAGAGGGACTCACCCTCTCTGCCACGCCTCTTAAGCTCTCACTCCAGGCTGACGAAACCGCCACAGCTCACTTCCGCGATAGACAAGCAGATAGACAAGCGCCGGGCGCCTCTCTCGCTCCGCATTCTGAAGCTTATCGGCGCGCCTTTTCGCCAGAGTGGCATGAAACGTAAGAAAGAATTGAACGTACCTTTGTTTTCCCACAGCGGGGCCGCATTTTTTCGATATCATAATTAAATCGAGGGATTTTCACACTTTTTTTCAATATTTTTACAGGTAACGTTTTTGGACTCATTGACTCTGAAGATAAAGAAAACAAAAAAGAAAAAAAACATAGCCACATGTGAAAAGTTGACAATCAGAGCCTCTTGAGCTTAGAATTGAAGAAATGAGCGTATGTTTTTCATAGCGGGGCCGCATTTTTTCGATATCATACTTACAGCGAGGGATTTTCACACTTTTTTCAAAATTTTTACAGGTAACATTTATGGACCCCTGGAATCTGAAGATGAAGAAAACGAAAAAGAAAAAAACACAGCCACAGGTGAAAAGTTGACAATCAGAGCCTCTTGAGCTTCTCGGAGCGGCACTGAGGGCCAATTTTAGAAATTTATGGACAAAGCTATAGACAAAGAAGACAAAAGGGGTATGGAGGGATCCTATTGGTGGGGTTGGGTTGTAATGGAAAAATTAGCTACGTATAATAGACTAACTAACGGCAACCCACGAGGGACCCTACAATAATCAGTCCATCACTTTCTCCCTCAGTCAATAGGAACCACCCATTTCAACCAATGGGATCGCCCCATACTTCCAGGGTGGCATGTGATGTAAAGGAAGATATGAAAGATCGGACATTTCTGTGAAATATCTCATGAAATTTCACGAGGCTGTGAAATATTTCATACTTTTCAGGGGCTAGGGGATGCAACCCGCACTCAAACACATAAAAATAGAAGAAAGTCACAATTTTTACATAAAATGTAAAAATTGTGACATTAGAGAGAATTTTCGTCGCAATTTTGAATTAAAGAGGACCGCGCCAGCTTAAAACTTTCGAAATAATGAGGGGAGAAAAATACATTGATTTTCTTCGAATTATCAAGAGATTTTCAAGGGAAATAGACTTTCCTTCGAAGTAACGGAGTTTTCGAATTATCGAGGTTCGAATTATCAAGAATCCACTGTAACCAGGTATCGCAGCACAAAAAAGTTTTTCCTGTCCCACATCGAAAATTGAAGGAGAAGCAGAAAAATAGGTGACTCGCGTCCTCTCTGCGACTCTGCTCTGCTTCCTCTAAAATTCAGTCAAGAAAAGTCTCTGCTGAAACCAGTGCTGAAGTTGAAATGCTGAATCACGCATTTATTTTTATAATCATGAATTGTTTTCATACACATCAAGTATTATTTCTTCGGAGAAGTAGTCAACGTAAAACGCAAGACTTCCGTGACTTTTCCTCTCCGTTGCCCGAAAATTCGGTAAAAATTTTAAGCCGTTCCGACTGGTTTCACCCGGAAAAAATAAGGAGCGGAAATTTTGAAACGTCACCATGAAGATATGTGGTTTCGCAATTTGACAATCGATATTCGATGTTCAAAAATCCGTCAAGCTTAAATAATTGTACAAAGTGCTGTCGCCAAAGCGTCCGTCGATTATTAACCCAGCTGCAGCTGATGTGCAGGAAGTCAAAACGCCTTCAATTTTTTGAATGCAATACGGACATCCGTCGAGGTCGAATAGTTGCATCACGGCGCGGCGCTGTCGTCTGCACGTCCCAATGTTTATCGCCACGGACGAATGCAAGTGGTGCGAGGTAATAAAACAAAACGCCCTCAGTTTTTTACCCATCGATGAACAAAGTGAGAGACTACGTATTTCCTTTTGCCGTCAAACTTCAAGTATAATGTAAAAAATTGCCCATGAAATGGTGAGAAAATCGAATAAGCATCCTCTCATCTACTACGACATAGGGTGAGATCTTTGAATGAAGATAGGTACTTTTCCCCTCGTTTGATTATCAACGCCATTACAATTATGCATTTCAATCAGAGATCCGCGCCTCCATTGATTGAATCAGGGAAACCCTCCTCTTTTTGCGCAGCCCGCCCCTCTCTTGATGCGACATTTCCATAGGGTTGATTTACCCCATCAAGCGGAATACCCCGTTGACGTATCCACATGCATCGCTCGGTTTAAAAAGCGAAGGATGCGGGTATTCAAGTCTCTTCCTTGCCTTTCGAACATCCCAACCATTAAATTATGAGACCCGTTTATAGAGAGTAGATCTTCAAATGGACCGCGTTAAACAGAAAGGAACCATTAAGCCACATCAGCTATTGCCAAATTTAATCAAGCAATTTAATTTTTTCCATAAAAACGGTTGTGCGGATTTAAGTGCAAATTTCAGTGAATTTCCCCCACAGTACGAGGCAAATTCCTTAAAATTTTCAACGAATCCGCACAAACCTTCTCTCGTAAAAAATTAAATTACCCTCTTAAATTTGGCAATAGCGGATGTGGCTTGGTTCCTTTCTGTTAGACGCGGTCTAAATATCAATCGTAAAATTGTTTTAAGTTTTTAGCGAGTACGGAAGATAATAATGAAAAACAGAACTAGTTAGCATGAAAGCCTGATGATGGTAAATGATTCATTCACTTTCACGAACTTTTTGGGAATATTTTTATGCTTTAAAATCTGACGCTAAAATTTTATGAGGGAAATATAGGTTTTTTTTTTTTTTTTTAATTCTGAAAATTGTCCTCTCCCTACATGTCGTAGTAGATGAGATGCTTATTTGCTTTCCTCACCATTTCATGCGCAATTTTTTACATTATACTTGAAGTTTGACAGGAAGTGCGCAACATCGCAAACGGAAATACGTGGTCTCTCACTTCGGTCGTCGATAGGTAAAACACTGAGGGCGTTTTTGCTTTCTTTTGCACCACTTGCATTCGTCCTCAGCGATGAACACTGGGACGCGCTAACGACAGCGCCGCGCCGTGATGCAACTATTCGACCTCGGCGGATGTCCGTATTGCATTCAAAAAATTGAAGGCGTTTTGACTTCATGCACATCAGCTACAGCTGGGTCGACCGACGGACGCTTTGGCGACAGCGCCTTGTACAATTATTTAAGCTCAATGGATTTTTGTATATCGAGATCAAATTGCGAGACCACATATCTTCATTGTGACGTTTCAAAATTTCCGCTCCTATTTTATTTTTACCGAACGAAACCAGCCGAAATGGCTTGAAATTTTCACGGAATTTTCTGGCAGCGGAGAGAAAAAGTCACGACGGGAGTTTTATGTGTTATGTTGACTACGTTTTCGAAGAAATAATACTTGATATTATGTATGTAAGAGGAGACTTCATGATTATAAAAATGATTTGTTATTCAGCATTTCAACTCCAGCACTGTTTTCTTGACTGAATTTTAGATGAAGCAGTTGGGCAGAGTCAAAGAAAGGATGCAAGTCACCTATTTTTCTACTTCTCCTTCAATTTTCGACGTGGGGCAGAAAACACTTTTTTTAGCTGCAATATCTAGTTATTTTATTCAAAGCTTTGAGACTGCGTTAGGTAAGTATTCCCGATGCTTGTCGAATCAGTAGGTAAACTATGCCGAACTTTCTGGCAATTTTCACCCTACTTTTGGGCGTTGTTATTACTCAGTCTCACAACGTTTGCAGAGGTAGAACACACTTCTATGCTCCGTCACTAATGAAGTAGGACCTCGGTTATCCGCGGTCGAATTATCCACGATCAATACGTCCATTTGTGGTGCTTACGGTCCCAATTATCGCGGATAACCAAGGTCAGGGTCTGGATCGCGGTTCTATTTTTACTCAATTTTGAGTGTTCGTAGACCAAGGTTTCTTTTCTTTGGACGAGGACATATTAATATACTTAGGCATTCACCGCCGTGAGGGTGGGTAAAAATTCAATAAACTTATTGGAACAAATATGATTAAGAATATTTGTCATGTAATTTAATTTTTTGACGGCATTTCTTGGCTACCAATGGAGCAACCCCTCCTTTTCCCATAATTTTTACGCTACAAATTTTTAAAACCCTAGGGAAAGGGGGGCGTGGAGCTGTATTACGGGTGCCTTACGAGAAGGGAGGGAGGGATTTGAAATTTGAAAAAAAGCTCTTCCATAAGTTATGGACGGGCCCTGAGGCATAGACAGCCAATCAGACACCTGCCTCGAGGGGGCTGACACACGGGGGAGGGGCGAGCAGGGTCAGATTTCGGCTCGCGATTTTGGGGGCGTTGTAGCTGAGCGCGCTAAAACTCAGCTTAATGAGATTGATTTTTCTTTCCGCGAGCCCTCCAATCCGCCCTCCCTCACGCAAGAGCCCCAGTCCCTCCCCCTTTCAAATCCTCGGAGCACTGGATGGAAAAAGACCGCCTCATCCTGGCTTGGCCGCTACTTCTACGCTGACAATGACGGTTTTTTTCCAAGGGGAAGTAGGCCGCGGCTCTCATACTGACGATAGAAATATGTTGGGGAAGGGCATCCGCCAGTTGGACTACCAATCAGCATTTATAGTTTAGCGGGTCCCTCTTTCCTGCCTTCTAGTTGTCAGTCGGTTAACTCCACCCAGAAAGTAGTTCTCTCATTCATACAGCCGCAGAAAAGTAATCTTAAAATAAAATGATGTTTCAAACATTCCGATCATTTTTCTCTTAGCTGAAATTTGAAGAAAAAATAACCTTTAATCCTCAAATTGTCTATAAGTTCCTTTTAGATTCGATGAAACCGCTCTCTATCGATCAGCGGATGAATACATTCGAAACCGCTTCCGCTACAGGATGTGGGCCGTGATGAGACGGAACTGACAGGAGTTCAATGTTTATTTACGTTCGGTGAACGAATCGCGAAGTTTTTATGTATCTTCGTTTATAAAGTGTGTTATAATGTGTCTGTGACAGTGACTGTATTGCGCTAAGATGTCAATGCCCAAGATTAAAACGGAACCTGATTTGGATAACCAAAATTTCGTAAGTAATGTTCCCTCTATCATGTGGCGCACTTCTCCAAACTGGGAGGAGAAATGGGAGTGTTTTTCTTCGAAACACCTCTCAGAAAATTTAGGCGTGTTTGTGACTTTGGAGGGTTGAATCAGATTCCTGTGTTATCATGAATGATGCGCTCTAAATGACAAGCTTATCAGTTGCGATTGAAATACGATTTTTGTCTTACTGGCAATCTCGAATGTTGCTATTGAGTCAATGCTTGAGTTTGATGGCTGAATAATGCTAATGGCCACTGTTCAAGGGCTGAGGTACAGGATATGAGTTGCAGTTTAAGGTCCAAACTAGTTGATTATTCATGACGAAGCTACTTAGCATTTCAAATTTTCTCCTCTTTTTTGACATCAGGCACTTCACCTCTTATCCTAAGTGAAAAATGATTCAAAAAGGGATGAGTAAGTTCAGTATCTAAACAAGCAATACTGAATGACCGATTATGAAACTTTGTGCAAAGCTGAACTGCAGTCGAAAGTTAAGATTAGCAGTACTGTCTTTACGAAGGTGAATCCTGATTTCAACTCACCTCTTGTAATACAGTTGAAACAAGCTTATTCCCTAGTCTAAATATGCTACCCACTTCCGGTTAGCTGAGAAGCATTGAAACCTAGGGCCATTTCATCGATTTGTCAATTACTTCTTCTTTTGATGTGGGTCGCAAGCACTTGCCTGTCATACGAATCTCAATCTAAATGCAGGGAACCCAATCTATTGCGTTCCATACATTTCATTGACTTCAAAGAAGCCCTCTAGACGATGCCTCTTTAAATTTTAGGTTATGTTGCGAATTATCAATTATTAATAATCCTCATTCTGGTTTATTACTGATATGGAAAAAAACTAGTGGGCCTTACTTTTTCATCTATGAGTTGCCTTATATGCAATGAACTGGGTTTCAACAGCTTCTCAAGTGCGGAAAATATGAAATTTTGGGAATGTTTTGCCACTGATCAAAAAACGAGTAGCATCCGAGAGGCTTGAGATTAAGTAAAATTGCATACAACTTGCTGGCCACCGCTGAAAAGTGGTCAGTGTATTTCAGTGGAATGCTCGGATTACACTCAAGAGACCTAGAGAAAAAAGTAACCCGGTTAATGGCAGTTTATCAGGTTCGATTGCTGGTTTGATGGGAAGATGAGCCCTGTATGTACACCAAATCGTAATCCGTTGACTTTGGTTACTGAGTTCTTTGTCAATTAGAAAAATGCATTTCAAGTAATGGGACCCCAAATAATCAGCAATAATCAATGCAGCATAATCAAGTAAGAAAATTGAGTCTGTCACTAGTATATCTAGCTTTTTCCTCATCGTCATCCGCCCCTGACATGACTCAGCGAGAATATTGAATTACTTGTTTACCTTTGATTCACTGCTTACAATGCAGTTTTTGCTAACTTGTATTGTAGCTTTCTTCTTGTTAAAGGATTAATTTTCTTTAATTTTTTTGTTTCAAGCGGTCCTCCACATCTCCCCAAATAGTCAAAACATCATCGCCTCAACAAGTGCGGCCCATCGTCAGTGCTACGGTGCTATCAAATGCTGTCTTTCAGCAGTTACAGCAGCAGCAGCAACAACAACAGCAGCAGCAACAACAGCAACAGCAACAACAGCAGCAGCAGCAACAGCAGCAGCAGCAACAACAGCAACAGCAGCAGGACAGCAGTCAAGATGAGGAAGAAAACTCGGCCGATAGTAACCCCATGTCTCCAATGGAAGACCGAGACCCTTTATCAAGCAATAGCCCTCAGCAACAGATAATATCCCTCGGAGGATTAACTAATGTTATACCGATTCAACAAGTTGGTAGTAAAGATAATAGTAACCAGGTAGCGAATTCTAGTCCACATCAAATTATATCGTTAAGTAACCTGCAAAATTTAATACCAATCCAACAAATAGCGGGGAAAGACGGAAAAACATTTGTGTCAACAGCAGGGCAAAATGTTTCACCAGGGGTTGTGTCAATTCAAGGAGTTCCTACTCAGCTTCTCCAGGTATGTAACCCTGAAAAGAAGCAGATACCTCCCTTGCAGTTTTGCTTTTTTAAATGTTGATTCAAAGCTTTAATACTATGAAGACATCTCTTGCTCTGAGAGCAACCTTTTTCTGAGTATTTGCAATTTACAATCAGAAGTTTTTCATCTTCAACTCGCAGTCCCTCACCTGCAATTAATTACTGGATATTGATCAAATAATTTACTAAGAATAATTAAATAATAATATAATTAAATAATTTAATAATAAGAAGAAAAAATTTGGTTCAAAATCTTAGTATGCTGTACCCTTGATCTTTTGGAGTTTTCCAGAGTTTCAGCTTTATCAGGTTGTTTTTTCAGAATTTTAATAAGTATGCACAAAGCTCAACGTTCATCCAAAAAGAAAAGTTTAAGTACCCAAAAAGAAGATATTCAAAATTTTGAAAATAATTTAGAGTTTTAAAATTTTTTTAAAAAAACAAAAATCCAACAAAGTAAAGTTTGAATGAGCTCAAGGAAATTCACGCAAAAAGTCAGAAGCAACTGGTATTTAAAAATCTTACCACATACTCTTTTCTTTATTCCAGCAAAATGGCGGCGCACAAATTTTATCAGCTGCTGCGGGCAATGGACTAACTTACGTCCAGCCAACGCAAACAGTTACTGTCGATGGCACAGAAACGTTTTTCATTCCTGGTGCTCAACAACTTATCAATCCTTCTGCTGCCCAAATGCTGCGGTCGGCCAATCTACTTCATAGTTTAGGTGGTCAAACAATTCAATTACAAACTGGTAAGTGAATTTAATTATCTTCTCTCATCGCTACCTACAATATTTAAAATGGTGTCTACTTATTCCTTAATGGGTAAGGCAGCTCTATCATTCATACTGCAATGCTATGTGGCTCCAGGGAGACAAAAAACGTTGTGAAAAAAAATGTCATGGAATGAGAAGACCATTATAACTGATCTTTACAGTGAGGAGGCTGGCAAACTTTTTTTTTTTTTTTTTTTTTTTTTTTTTTTTTTTTTTTTTTTTTTTGCAACATTGTGGTAATTTACACTCAATTACAGAGCCTTTGAAAGGTCATTACTTTGAAATTTCTGAAAGAAAAGGAGCTCTTATTTCCTCCTGGACTTTAATTTGACAGGAAATGTGAGGAAAAGGGAGGAAATATCCAACGAGAAAAAAGATAAAATCTTTCTTCCTCTTTGTCCTCTTTAGCCCATCACTATTCACCCTCGTTTATAGAAATATTTATCTGAAAATAGCTAGAATCACTTAAAAGGTTGAGCAGTAGAATCAAAAATAATAGTTGAGTTCTCCTTTCAAGGGTTTGTGCTGAAAATCCCACTGGATTTAAATGCTCTCTGGTAAGCACAGATTGATCTTAAAACAATGGTACAGTCCGTTTAAATGTCATGCCTCTTCTAATTACTGCTCTGACGCTACAAAATCCAAGCCTAAAATTGAAAGGTCAAATTGAGTTATCATTCATACCTACTGAATTAATCTTTGCACTCGATTTCAGGGCAAAATATGTGTGTTCAACCTCAAGTAATGCAGTTACAACAAACAGTGCCCGTTCAAGTACCTGTCTCTGCGAATGGGCAAACCATCTACCAAACTGTTTACTTCCCCCTCCAAGCTTTGGCCAGCAATTTTAATAGCCCAAGTCAAGTACAGATGATTCCACAGGTGTCACAGGTAACAAAAACTGCACAGTTAAAGCCTCTTTTCTTGTTTATAAACATCCATGGAAGAAAGAACCCTATGGCAGAAAAACTTAAAATTGAGATGTCATTGGATTGAGATATCACCGTTTGCTCATCGAAGGGTTTTGAGAAAAAAGTATCTGAAGATTTGATTTGCTATGATTAGAGGTTGAAGTGGGATCAGTCTTCAGCTTAAGCTGTCTGAACGGGGTTGCCAGAGTCAGAGAAAAAAGGAAATTTTCAGGCATATATTTAATGAGTTAGGAAAAATCTGGAAATGTCAGGGAAAATGACGAAAGTGTCAAGGAAAAATTGTTAAGTTGGTCTTCATTATTTGCTTTTTAGAATGGATTTGAAACCTTGAAAATAAATTTTGCCTGAAATTCATTTGAAATTATACCTTTTTAACCATCTGGCTTGTCGTCAATTGTCAGAGAATTTTACCAAAATGCGTCAGAAGAATTTATTCTCTAAATTCTATCAAAACTCTGTTAATCTCTTTTCCAATTTAAATTTTTCTTGAGATATACCGCTGTAACTCAAAAGAGTTCCAGATTTTCATTTGGCTGTCATACTACCTATTTAAATCATTGCTTATATAGTATCATAATTCATTTGTATTTACAAAGGAAAGAAAGGAGACATCACTTTGAAATTTTTGAGGAAGAAGGGTTTTTAATATCGAAAAGCCAATTTGAAAAGCAGCAAGGCTAAGAACTTGATCCATCCCTGAACTCAACTTTGTGTTGGATGTGAAAAAATCTAAAAGAGAACTCTACTCAATAACTCTCTACTCAAATAAAAATTAAATATACTTCTGCCATTTTTAATCCCATCCATCCTAAACTTGTCAATCTTAGACCTCAGAAATTATTATACGCATTTTGGAAAAGATAATTCAACAATTAAAATCAGATTTGCTAATTTTTTCGGTTTTCCCCTCTTTTTCAGATTCAGTCACCACAGGTTGCTCAGATTCTCACCCCTTCTGGCCAGATTCAAACTGTACAACTAGCCCAGTTGCCGAGCCAACAAAATCAGCTCATAGTCCAAGCTAGCCCCACGAATCAAACTAGTACTAATAATGCGAATGTTGCCACAAGTAGTGCCACAACAAGTATGGGAGCCACATCAACAGGCTCACCTTCAGTTACGGTGCAGGTAAATACATTTATATTCTGAAAAGGTTGAATGGAACAAAGGCAAGAAATCTTCGCAGGGTTGCAGATAACTTATACCCTTTTTTTGGTTTAATTTGTACCTAATTTTTTGGGAAAACCAAAAAGTTCATCACAAAATTTATCAATGTCTTCTCTAGGGGGAGAAGAAGCTAATCAAAATCCAACGAATCAAAAGCTAACAGTCAAGTTGACTTGGCAAGTCAATGCCTGAAGATAAATTCAGCCAATCAGCAAAAATGGTTTCCCCTTCCTGGCTACATCAGCGGCGCCTGCCAAAAATTTTGTTTCGAACAAGTTTAATTTTTGGCAATTTCTAAAGGCAGTTTTTTTGCTATTTAGGGTTAAAAAAATCTGAAAAATTCCTAAGAGCTTAGTTCACTTTATATTTTCCGGAAATTAAGTAAAAAAAATTAGTGCCACCGACCCATTTTCTTGATTGTGGGTTGCTGTCAGTGACATCCATAAAACTTTTTGGCAACCTCACTACATTGTTGCTGTTTCCTACCTCTTTATTTCAAGCTCTATCAAGCTGTTTCTTTCATGCGTATTTTCTTTTTGTTTCAGCTATCAAATATATCACAGCTATCTAATCTCTCAAATCTCTCCAACCTTTCTAATCTGAATATTCAAACAGTGAATATTCCTGGGTTGGGTAATGTGCAGCTTTTACCATCTACGGATCTACCAGTGGGAGCGCAACAACAATTGGGCATTTCTCAATCCCCCACGGGACCTGTTGTTGTCACACCCAGGCCTCAAAATATTCACTTTCTGTGTAAGCTTAACTCATTTGTCATTATGAATCTTTTTTATCTTCTTCTTCATTTAAATCAGTCTTTTTAAACAAAGGACTTCCTTAACCTATTGACTTATGATTTAATTTGACCCTGTTGGGTCAGGAGTCACGATTTAATTTGGCAAAAATCAGTAGCTTTGAACACTTAAAAATAATCCAAAAATTCCTTCTCTGAGAGTAAGATTCGACACAATAAGCATTCAAAATACAATGTTTGAGAAAAATGGTGAAAACTTTGAACCAAATGATTTCTTTATTGTAGTTTTTTCTTATCAAAGTCGCGAAAATCGCAAAATTAGCGATAATCAGAGAATTTTGAGGTTATTTCATGTTCAAACGCACAGTTTATTAATATAAAAATCCCGTATCAAAATAAGAAATTACCGCACACAATAAGTCATAGGGTAGTCACATTGCTCATATAAACATTGACAAGAATGCAATCTACTGGAGAATCGCCGAACTAACGCAAACAATCGGCAGACGGCTCTGAGCCGTCTCTTCAGATCTGGCCCAGCGCAGTGCGGACGGCTGGGAGCCGTCAGTTTAGGTCAATGGGTTAACATCCAAACTAATTTTCCATGCGTATAATCTTTAGGTCAGTAAAATTTGTTTAAGGCAGTAGCAAAAATCGGGACCAAAATGACACCAGCTGTCTGATAATTGAAATTGATAGACATAGCAGCAGACAAAGTAGACAAAGGGAACTTGAGTCACAGCATCACCAAGTGTAGAAGTATTTCCTTAATAGTTCCCAAATTCAGAGCTTACCACTAGATATAATCCCCTCAAATATATTCACATAGGATCAAATACCATTATTTCCAATTTCGTCAATTGAGTAGGAAGGGTTAAAGCTTTCAGTAGAATTAGTCCAAGAAAATGTAGGTTGCGACTAAAATTTACTAACATCTTCAAAAATACGAAATGCAGCGCTTTAATTGCTATTTTGTTTATGTTTTAGCACCAGGTCAACAAATTCAGCAAGATCCCAACGATCCAAATCGGTGGCAGATCATAGGCTTTAATACCCAAAATGCAAATACAGTTCAAGTTCAACCTGAGGTCTTGTCAGCTGCCTCGACACCAGTTCCTGAAGAAGATTCTGTGGATGAAAAACCCAGAACCAGAAGAGTTGCTTGCACCTGTCCCAATTGTTGTGAAGGTGGAGGAAGGTTAGGACTCTCAATTTTTATTTATTGAAACCTGGATGCCATTTTTTTTAACCTTTCAGTGAACTTTCACTCTTCGAAATATCTACTTGAGAATGCGCAGCTACTGAATTTTTGTCCTTCTCCAGTAATAGTGAAATAAGGAAAATCATTTTCCAATTTCATGTTTTTTTTTAAATTTCACTGTTGACAATATTTTTTCTTGTTTTCTAAAATGAGTTTTGAGCTTAAATGATAATTGGATTTTATTAGGGGTTTATTGATACTCCCAGCATCTTCCAAAAAAATCCCTTCCATTTTGTTAATCATAAATTTTATGCATTGATAACATTAATTTTCTTGATCGTTATGTGATCTCACATGTTGAAAAAATTGTGTCAGAATCAATAAAATACAAGTAGTTTATAGGAAAAAGTGATATAATGGCAAGGATTTTAAGAAATACCCCAATAAGATGAATTTTTGGGGGTGCAAGCAATGAGCAAGGAAAAAAGCAGGGGAAAAGCAAGGGTTATAGCGCATGTCAGCAAAACTTTAGTCCAATTACAAAAATTGAATTAAAGTTTAACTGCATGTATTAACAGGAAACGCTAGGCCATGCCGGTTCAATCACAAGTGGAGAACAGAAATATATGTTCTCCAAATTTTTCAATAGTTCACAAATTTCGCTTACTGTGAAAGAACGATGAAAATTTAAAATACGATAAATAAGCATAGTCACCGCCAAAGAGAGAGGACCCTTTAAAAGTTGCCTTGACCAAGAAGTAAGTAAGGAAAGTTAGAGCTAAATTTTGTGATTTCAGTTTTATCTGTTGATTGGAAGTGGTTTTCCCCTTTAAAGTTTTTCTAATTTATTCGTTTCTTTTTTTCCTCTAAGCAGATCATCAGATAAGAAAAAAGTTCACATATGCCACATGATTGGATGTAATAAAGTATATGGAAAAACATCTCACTTAAGAGCACATTTAAGGTGGCACACTGGAGAAAGACCTTTTGTTTGCAATTGGCAGTATTGTGGGAAACGTTTTACGCGATCCGACGAGCTACAGGTAAATATTCTCTATGTTCATTACTGTCACTTCACTTTTTTCTCTTGCGTTATGACTTTCTTTGAACATAGTTAATCTTACTTACTGTTCAATTAAAGGTGGGCACTTTACCTTCGCACCATATTAATGCCATTTAGACAATTGAACAGGAATCAGGTAAATTGCATTTTCTTTTGCTTAATTTGCTCTCATGTCTCCCTATTTTAAACTGAAGACTTAGCAACTTAATTTTTCAAAACTCTTTTCTTCCTGATCGTGAAGACTCACAAAATTTTAAAGTGTAATGTTGATTCAATTTCTGTCAAAAAATAAGAGAGGAGAGATGAAATTAATAATGGACCTGTTGTGGGCTGATTATCAAAATTGATAGACAAAGTGGTAGACAATGAAGAAGAAGGGAAAATGGAGTGATCCCGTCGGTTGAAAAGAGTGGGTGTCATAGACATAGCGGGAAAATGATGCACTAACAATGGGGTCTCTTGTGGGTTGCCGTTATTTAGTCTATAGCTTACCTCTTCTATCTATTGCAACCACCTGCTTCCACCAATAGTAGCACCCCATTTTCTCTTCATCTTCTTCATCTATCGCTTTGTCCATGATCTTGTCACTGGTCGGGGTAAGAAACAAAGCAATACAGAGCACGTTTTTTCACTATAATTTCATGCTAAACTCATCAAACGTATCAAAATTTTCAAAATTAACTCACCAGTTAAACTTAAATGTTCGTAGTTTACATTAAAAAAAGTAAATTCAAATTTTCCGCTTGAGAAAAAAACCATATTCAACAAGGCCCGAATTAGGCGTTGAAAGTGATCTGTGCGTTACTTCAAACTTAGATGTCTTTGCTTTTGTTTCAATTGTGACTTTGTCCTTGTTCTCTAATGTTTCATGAAGCAAGTGTAATGTTTCGTTTCTTTTGCAGAGGCACAACCGAACGCACACCGGAGAGAAACGATTCCAATGTCCAGAGTGTAATAAGAAATTCATGCGCAGTGATCATTTACAAAAGCATGTTCGAACGCATCAAAAACAAAGAGTCATTGTAAGTTTCAATGAAGTTTTTTCGTATTTTCCACTGCATCTGATTTGCATCAAGCAGAAATAGTTGCAGTTCTAAGATCATAATTCATGGAAAATGACAATTTTTCTTCTCAGATGCCTGCAGATCTCTGCAGCTCAAATGTTTTCACATCAATCCCAGCATTAACGATCAAAAACCCGATGCTGTAGTGATTGTTTCGTCTAATTCATTTATAATATTAATCATACAAATTGCTGTCATGTACAAAAATAATCACCTAATCACAGAACACCAACAATTCACGTTTATAGAGTTCCAATTGAACGACACCATTTTGGATTTCATAAAATGAAAAGAAACTGAGATGTGGATAAATTTCTCTAATTTTACTGAAGCACTTTTCAGCTCACTCCATCATCAGAGCAGTATGAAAAATCTTGAGCACAAACATATTCGCAGTTTGGAATTTCACATCACTAATTTATCGATTGCTAACGAACAATATCGCCTATCTGCAAACTACAAGGAGAAAACAAACGAAATTTCCTTTGTGGTCATTGTTGAAGACACTCTATTTTCCAACTTTTCTTTCATTTGTCTTAATTTTTCTGAATTTTCTGCAGGAAGCGGCAACTTCAACACAGCCAGCATCGCAAGACGAAAGCTCTTCAAATGAGGAAAAGATGATGATCATCCAGACTGATTCTAATGATAAAATTCTAATGATTCAGACGGACCCTGATCAAAATCAGGAATTGACCATAGTCGGTATTTAACTACCTCAATAGTTTCATGACAAAAATACCAAGGTAAGTTAACTTTTTTTTACATAGTTATCCATTAGCCGCAGTAATGGGTCACTAAACCTTGTTTATTTTATTGAATATTCTGAAAGTTCTATGTGAGTGGATAACGTGGTGATTTTTCCGCATTTTTACGGAGCCGAAATCGCGGAAAAAACTGCTTTTGAAAAATCTAAAAACTGCAAGACATTTCAAACGCACCCGAATGGCGGGAAACTGACGGTGTTGATGTACTGCGGTAGTCATATTGCAGTCTCCTCTCGTTTTCCTCTGATGTTTGTTAAAATAAAACGTAATTCAATGTGGAATTGTTGCTTGTTTATTACAGCTAACATATGAATGAGATTCGAGTTTTGAATTCAAAATATATAATTTCGACTTTAGTATTGTTCTCATATACGAAGAGTAGATAGACATTTGACTGACGTTGTGGAAACCCGTGCCCGTCTCTGATTGGTGCCGGATGACATCATTCGGTGCGGCGCGAAACCGGGGCGTTTTAAATTTGCGTATAAGTTGAGCAATCGCATTTCTTGGTAATTGAGTTGCTTGTTCGCGTTTTTAATGTTCGCATCGTGTTATATGCGTCATTTTCCTTTAGAAAACTATATTCGCAAGTCAAAATTCGTTCATGGTTTAGTGACCCATTAGCCTCCTCTTGCACCACTAATAGAACTACAGATCAGGCGTTGCAAATCATATTTATTTTTGTTACGAGTTCTGTAGAAAGACAAGATATGTCAACATTTACCTGTCTTCTTGAGTAGTGTTGATTTTACTCCAGGAAGTATCCAACAGCTCTTGGGTAATCCCACAATAGACCTCTCGACTAGGGAATAATTTACTTTCTGTAAGGCCTGTTTTCAAGGAAATATCCTCTTTGCTTCAAATGACACTAAATGTATGTACCAGAATACAATTTACACAGTCTTTTTCTTCTAAAACTATAAATGTTTTGTTAATAAAAAGAAAAAAAAAGCTATTTGACATTTTAGGTATTTTTAAATAGAGATGAAGATGCACGATTTTCACAACACTAATGGGCCTGCTGCAAACTTTTGCTACAACAAAAATGAGAGTCCTCTCTTATAGAAAATGTCTCAAAAATCATGATGAATTCATTGACAAAGTGTGAAATGCACTTTTAATGTCACAATCTGTGCAAGAAATTTGCGTTTTTTAAGCTTCCTACTTCCAAAACGACACTACGGTACAGGTGAACATTTCGTAAGAGGAGTTGCTCCATCCAATCCTTGCGCGCTAGGATGCTACAAAATATTCAGTATGGCTGACGCTTACGCGTGCAAATCGTGAGAAAGCACCATGGCTTTCATGAACGGACAAAAAATGTAAGTATTAACAAGCTAGTTGATCAAATCTGGTCTTGTAATCTGTATTTTGGCAGGTCGGCGTAGGCCATGTTAAAAATTACGTAGCACCCCAGTGCAGAAGTGTTTGATGGCACGACTGCTCTAACAAAACGTTACTATTCTGTAGTATCATTTTTGAAGCAGGAAGCTTAAAAAAAACGTAAATTTCCTATGCAGACTGTGAAGTTAGGAGTGCACTCCACACATTGTGGATGTGCTCCTTGTGTTTTTTGAGCCATTTTCTGTAAGAATCAATTATTCCTTTTGGTCTAGTAGAAGTTTCCAACAGGCCCATTCTCTTTTGCCAAGTGCAATCCATTCTATCTTTGATAACATTCCTCAATAGTGAATAAATTTGGTAAAATGACATTGTCATTCTAGTAAGATCTGAATTTAACGGGTCGATTTTCCAGTCCCTTCAAGGGTTTCAAGCTATTTGAATCAACAGCAGCCTGATTGTTGAAACTTTAACTGGTTATGTCGGCAAAATAAGACAAGGCATTTGCAATGTATAATGTATCGATTTTTTATTCTTGTCATGCCGACATAAATTTCAACAATCAGGCTGCAGATTCTGTTATTTAATGGATCAATTCGTCAGTCTCGTGAAATCAATAAATCAAGGTCTTATTGTCATTGTTTTTTGTGTAAAGTAGGAATTAAGTGCTTAAAGCAAGCAAGTTATTTTTTGTCTTCCGGCTTCAGTATTAATTTGCTTGTTTTTCCGTTTTTTCAGGTTAACTCTTGTGCCAATGGATGATCACCCTTCACGATCCTCTTTCGGTCGATGCCATATTTTTTTTGTCTGTCAGAAATAAGTTGTTCCTATGGAATATAGGGCATTTTTTAATCAAAATATAAAATTTAAAAGGAATGATCAATTTTATACAGTAAAATTTTGTCTTGACTAATCTCTGGGGAGTGGTAAACAAAATGTTTTCGACAGAAGCTTGCAGAAACTCAGCATGTAAACTGCAAGAATTACAGTAGGTGAAGGTGGGTTATGGTAGTTACGAGCTTGTAGCTAGAATTAAAAAGATTGCACACTCAGTGAATATTCCCATTGCCGGAATATTTCTTGGATTGAAATTCGTTACAATCTCACAGGTTAAATTTTATCAGACTTTTTACTCTAAAAAGTAAGGGCTTCTAAGATTGGCGTAAAATTTGCTTTAAAAGGAATTCCTTATTTCAATGTTAGCTGAAACAAAATTTTACTGTGTTCATCGATTTCTGTATAAGCAAATTATTTTCTCAGTACTTATAAGCGTAGAAACCTATTGTCAAATCAAAATTTTGTATGTATCTAGGTACATAGACCAGTTATGTAATACTTTAAGTTGATATGTTTTTATACTTTGTTCTACCTTGTACAGTTTTGTACATAGCTTTAAACTTTAGTTATGTTTCATTGTATATTGTGTTTATAATGTTAGTTTACCTGCATTTGCTTATGTTTTATACGTTTAGTAGTTATTGATTTTTACCATTTTTTACGGTATTAGCCAAAAATTTTAAGTCTATTTCAGAGAAACAAACTTAGATCATACCTTTTATTTAACAGTAGCCCACAACAAATTGCAAATTGCTCTGTTTTTGTGGATACCTTTTAAGAACCCCCTCTTTAGGTGGAGGTAGTTCTTAGGTTTGACTCTTAAGTATTTTTTAATCTGCTGATTATCAACATTTTTTTTTAGAAAGTTCCTGCACTTTTAATTCAAAACAAACAGCATGATTTACGTTACTATAAAATTTTTGTTCAGCGCTATCGGGCCCCATACTGTCGTCTCCTGCAAGAGGGAACATAGCTCGTCTTTACTATTTCAGTATTTCTACGCTTATTTTAGTTGTTTATGAGAGAACCATCGCACAAAGTCTGAAAATTTCAGGCAAATTCAAGTGATAGTTCTCCCATGAAAAGTAAAATGTAAGAATGAAATATGATAAAGCGCAATCGAGATAAATTCCCTCTTGTGGGAAACAACGATACAAGCGTCCATGGATTTTATATGGGGTGTAATGCATCACTCTGCAAGGTATAAGTTAATTTCTATTTCTTTTTTTTCTTTTCTAATTTTTAATGAATTGAATGTGACAATGGCACTAGGAAGAATATTTCAGAGTTGCCATCATCTGCTTAATTTTTAGGCCATCGAGTTTAAATTTTAATGGAAAAGCTTGACTGAAAAGAAGAAAAAGTCAAGAATTATGTTCACAAATTGTCATCCTTGGGATGAATCTTTTGCTTCTGATATATTCTTCTGTGGGCAAATTTTTTTTTAAAACTCCAATTGGGTCCTATAGATAAGTACCAATTGAAACTTTCCAATATCTACAATTTAGAACACTTCATATCTGAGATGAGCTCCTTGTATGTCATTCTTAACGGACATTTTATTTCCTATTTGCAGAATATCAGCTTTTTTCGTCCTTTACATTTAATTTCTCTAGCTGCATTTTGAAAAAAAAAAAAAAGGATTCTCCTGCTCATGGCTTTAACATCTAAAAGTTAGTTAAAATTTGAAGACTGTAGAATTACGTCCTGTTTTGTTGCGGATATTAACAGTCAAAGGAGTTGCAGTTCAGTTTTAAAAAACAGCCACAACCGATTTTTTAGAACTCATCAATCCATGTTTTAATGTAGCAAATTTTTGTTTTTGAGGTTTAGCTTTCTTTTTAGCATTTTATGGAAATACTAATTGAGTAATTTTTTTATTTATTTATTGTGAAAAAAGACTGAAACGCAGCAGCAAAACAGAAAATTCTCCAAAAAAATATTTGTAAAGTTAAAAAAAAGTCAATGTCAAATTGAATACCTACCTATTCAGACTCATGAAAAAAAAAATTTCCTTCACATTTTATTTGATACATAGACGTTTAAAGTAATACAACTAAAATTGTTATTGACCAAGTCGTGTAATCTGGTTTTTTGATAAATAAAAATAAATTTCCTAAGAACTCTATATTTGAGTTCAAAATTAAAACTCACTCGAATATCTCTTGGATCAATAAAGTCAAATTTTTTTTTTAAGTCAATTTCACACTTGTTAGGTATTTTAGCATCCTTAGCTGTTTAATGGAAGTGGACCTTAAAGAATTTTTAACGCACTAATTGAGTTAAGATTGATCTTGAAGAAAAGAATTCCGATTAATTTTTTATTGTTGCATGGAATTACTTATATTCTTTGAGTCACAAATAGTACCTGTCCTTCTGTTCATTTTGAAAAATATCGCTTGTTCTTTTTATTTGGCTGAAATGTTTTTGTTTTCATTTTTCAATTATTGACTCTTTAATGAGCTTTAATCTGCATGATTTGCAGCAGGCTTTTAAGTTTAGCATGCTTTCTTGCCATATCAACTGGTTTTTCATGTTCAATCGAATCTAACATTTTCAATCAATCCATGAATTCAATCAATTTATCGATTTAATCAATTAATCAAATGCATTTTTACCTTGTTTCTGTCATTCGCAGTGCCACTATTTCAAAAGATGTTTCACCTTCAATTTTATGCATACAAATTGTTAATGTGAAAAGTCGGGTAGTTCTGATTAATTTGTTTAGGAGAACGTTGAAGAGTCAATGAATTTTTTATTGCTAAATTTGTGGACACATTGTCAATTTATACACTAAAACCATTTCTTTGAAACTTTAGTCAAACTTAGAGGTATCTCATGGCTTTTTCAGACAATTTATCATTGTTAGTTTGCGTAAGTGCAAATTTTACTCACTGTGAATGTGTTCTCTGTTATCTTCAAGGTTAACACTTACAGAAAATGAAAATTGTTTGTCATACTGAAAATTAAGAGCGTTAACATCTTTTGTGTTAATCTACATGGAAGACTTGTCCCAACGATGAGCAAGCTTTACTTTTCATGTATCATTCAAGGTTTAGATTCATTAGTCCTCTCCTAGAACATCTCAAAAATTATTTTGCACAACGCAAACAATGTTTTTTCTCACCGATTTTATTTGTTTGATGACTGAATATGAGTCTTAAGAATTAGATTGATTCATTCCGAGAAAACGAATCACAAGTTAGTCATGGTGCTATTATTGAACGAATGTATTCAGTGGCGTAGCATGGTCTGCGTAGCATGGTCTAGGTATTTTATTTCATACTGCGGGGATTTTTTTTTTCCATGCTATTTATTTTGTTCCATCCAGGAATAATTCATTGATCGTCATGCATTATTAGAGTTGGTAAGGAGGAATGATGATCGCAAATATACGCTGAAGCATCTGAAAATTATCGATAGTTTCCTTGTATTATTCCAAATCAGAAACAGTACGGAGAAAAGTAAATGAATACTTTTTTAGACAGCCAGTATAAATGTGTTTCATTTGAGCAGGAAAATATTTATGTAAATTATTAGATTAAGATCAATGATTAAAATTTTACCACCGTGGTCGATTTTCATGAGGTTTAAAAAGGGGTGTGTAGAAAATAGGAAGGGGCGTGGGGTGCTGGAATAGAATGAGGGATATTAACAACCAGCCTTGTTATGCCACTGAATGCATCAGACTCCTAAGAACATGTTAAATTTGTCGCTTGCTAAATCTAACTGAACAAGGGTATCACTAACATCTGAAGTATTACTTAATTTCTTGTTTATCACTGTAAATTGTCAATAAATGCACGGTTTCTTTTTTATTTTATTGTATTTTTCTTTATTCCAAGGATTAATCCTGGATTTTCCCTCTGTAGGGAAGCGTTGCCTAGGCAAAATCCTAAAATCGCATAGCTCGCTCAAAAATTAAGGTATCAAGGTGCAATTTGCTTGAGTTTTTTTAAAAAATTGTTCTTTAATAAAATGATCTCTTTTGGATGCTCTGTCAATTTAAATCTGCCGTTTTACTGTTGTTTCACTTTTTTAATTTCTAAAATTTGGCAAACTTGCAAATTGTTACAGGTCTGATCTTTAGATCTTGAAAAAAATGTGCTCAAGTAATTTTTTTGTATCATTCCGTAATCAGCAACATATGCTCTTGTGGAAGTAATTAGATTGCGATATATGAGGACTTATCTGTAACAATAGCGGATGTGAAAAATTACATTTTCGAAACACGCGTAAAAAACTGTTTTGTTCACACAAAAATTTAATATGTTTGGCTCTGGCATGATGTACAGATCTCGAAGATTACATCTCAAGTATTTTCTCAAAATTTTCTGGATGCCAAAACAGTTTTTTGAATGTGTTTCGCAAAGGTAATTTTTCACATCTGCTAATGTTACAGATAAGTCCTCATACAAGCATTTTGTGAAATTGGAATTTTGAGGAGGATCAAAGAAGAGGTCTAAAATGGCGTTTTCGGATAAGCCTCTTTTAGTTTGCCAAGGTTAATTTTATCCTGCTGCCCCCAAAGGCGCAACTTTATAAAATAATTAGCAAGCCCTAAAAATTAACCAGTCCACCTCCTAAAATTTGATCTACATGGTTACAAAAATTGGGTTGAACTTTTTAAAAACACTTGTGTTAAAAATGTGTTCCTAAGAAACAAGGAATATGGTTTTTTTTTCTTTCTTTTTTTTTCCAAGTCTCAAAACTTAACTTAAAATTGTTGTGCTCTGATGTTTGGAAACAGGGCTTGTCTAGATCTGCAGTGTAATTCAATGTCATACTACTCGGTATTAATGCTGTTACACATTTTGGATCAGTTTTTTGTATTTTATTATACAGCACAATAATTATTGCTTCTCCAAGACGCAGAGCTTGAAGCAGCGCAACATAGTGGCGCGTCTTGGCCTTAGATCACTAAGAATCAGCTTAGAGGTAAATATAATTTTATGATGCTCCAAACGGATGAAGGAAGGAAAACGCCAGAGTGATTGGAAGATAATAAAAATTTTACTTTAAATTAACATAACATACATAGACATAATCATAATTTACAATAATTCCCTTAAAAATAACTTAAAAAAGAATGTTGAAATACATACAAATGATCCCTGCCACTTGTCACTTCGATGAGAGGGAAATAGATTTGAGGCAGGTGAGGAATAGCAGAATCAAAAATGCTTTGAGTTGAAGTGAAAATTTTTCAAGACCGGTTGTATTTTCCCCAGATGTGGAGCATGAACACTGAGGCTATAAAGAGGAGAGACATAACAAGGACAGGAACTGGACCACTGCAAAGAGAAGAAAAACCTTTTAGTTCACTGCTTTCGAAAAAATAATAACACACGACAAGAAGAGGAAAAATGAAAGAAAAAAACTAAAAAAGCACTTGGCAACCTACTCAACGGTTAAAGAGGGGTAGATTTTTGGTGCTTAATCCAATAATAATCTGTCTTTTGTTTTTTCTTTTCTTCTCTATTAAAACAGGGTCACTGCAAAATTTAGAAAATGAAATTCTCTGAAATTTCCGTAACTTCCCTAACGCATTTAAATAAAATTCCTGGACAATCGAAAATATGCCAGACAGTTACAAAGACATATGTGCCAGATTTAAAGTAGTTATTAGGCAAAATTAGTTGTTTGAAACGTTAAACCCATGGCAACCATGAATAGTGAATGACTGCTGATTTCCTTGATTCAAACTAGTTTTCACAGGAAATCAACAATCTCCATCTAACTTAGCCAAAAAGAAGCTAGATTTTCGGGAGGAGGGAACACTAGATAAGGCGCAAAAATAAGCATTATTATGTGTTCTCTCATCAAAATTTCAAGTAGAAAACAATTGACGCAACAAACATTATCGATAGGGATTCCTGATCAAGATATTGACATTCTTTGATGTATGAACTTTAACTTCTCATGTATGAAAATAACCACAACCTACTTGAGTTTAAATTCACACTAAACATTATTAAAACATTCTCTGCTATAAAAAAATAAAGCAACGTTGATCTTTGAGTTTCAGTTCTGCTGTTGCATGTCGTTTACACTGAGAAAACCACAGAGCAAGGAAGGAGTACTATGTGATAGGGAAATCTGCCAAAACGATTATTGGGCCTAATTTGATTAACTTAGAGTCTGGTTTTTCTTGAGAGCAGGGAATTTGAATCTTTTTTGTCGCCAGTGCTGGATTAAGACCTTGTTATGTATCTTGGTTAGTAGTTAATTTTAGAATATTTGCTGCGCACATTGTGTTTTATGGGAAATTTTAATAGGGAAACATATCAGAATACTTTGATTTGTACTTTGAGTAGTGGTTCACTGCTGGTGGAGAAAAGCAAGATTACTTTTAGATTCAGCAGCAAAAGAGAATATTCATTTTGCTAATTGTATATATCATAGAATATTCCTAACTCTTTCAGACAGCGAACAGAGACAGTGCTTATATTTTAGAGACCCACTGCTGTTTTCTATATAAAGGGAAAATGATTCCTTTCTCTACCAGAAAAAATGATGAAATAATGAACTTCTCTCACAAGCAGATGCTTTAAAATATATGCACCTTCTTCTCCTGATACATCTACACTTACAGTGAGATAAAAAAAATAAATGACATGATAAACTTACACTTTGACACCAGGAGAATCGTCAGTGTAATACCTCCACATGCCACCGTTTCCTGTATTTCTACTCCTGGCAGCTGTTGTAGTCATGGTAGACTTCCTGTTTGAAAAATGAAACAGAAAAGAGGTTTTGAGAATGAAAATAAGGCTAAAAAACAGGGAAAGTACACTTAAATTAAGAATAAAATTGCTAAAATTTAAACAGCCCAAAACTTTACTTCCTTAATTTTTGGCCCATAAGTGAAGTTTTTGAAAAAATGAGATGTTAATGAATTCAAGTAAAACTAGTCTTAATGCATGTTCTGTGAAAAATTTGCTTCCGAATTCAAATTCGTAAACATCAAAACGTAAGTTTGAACTTTTTTCCCGCCATTAGGAGTCATGTAATTTCGAAACTTCAAACACGCACTTCTCAAAATAACAAAAATCGCACTTGTGCGCATTATCCTCCAAGCCCCTCATTTGTGGTTTTTTCACAAAATTTGACAACAAATCCCTTGCGACTGTCCCATTTTTAAAAGTCTTCCTTCTGGGAAAAATAGGTAAAATCCCCCAACTCACTTAGATTCCAGATTGATATACAAGTAGATAAAATTGGCCAATCCTAGCAGCATTCTATTGCACTTAATTTTTATCTGCTCAACTTTACTGTCTCTTTCCAGCAGGCTGATTATTGAAATTGATGGACAATGCGATAAACAAAGGAGATAGAAAAAAAATGAAGCTATCCTATTGGTTAAAATGGGTGGTTGGATTGGACAAAGGAGGTAAGTATAATAGACTAACTAACGACAACCCACGAGAGACCCGACAGTTAATCCGTCATTTACCCCCCTAAGTCTATAAGAGGCACCCATCTCAACCGATAGGATCGATCCATACTCTCTGCGTCTTTTTTGTCTATTGCTCTGTCTATCAATTTCAAAAGTCCACCCGCAGGAGCATGTAACGAGACATTGATATTTACCTTTGTCTGACAGCAGCTCCAGCTGTGCGGGGTCCGGCACCCGATTTCAACGGAGACCTCCCTGCTGCACCCACTGAGGCAGAACTTGGTGAAGCCGGCTGAAAACAGAAAAATGTTTGTAAATTATACTCAGTGTAGTCATGATAACCGGCATTGCATTTTTATTTACCAGTTCACAGCCTGAGCATGAACCTATAGAATTGATGAGGTTTGATGATTTACAGTCATGAAACAACTTAAAATTAGAGTGAGAGCTTGGCCTAAGTAAATTGATCATCTTAACCTCAGCTTTGATAATTAAAATATTCCCAGATCAAGACTCTGATAATACAGGGCTTAGTTAACTATCTGCTAGCCACTTGCTGGTTAGATAACAAATTTAATCTTTACTCTTCTACTACAGATTGTGGGAATAGATTTCCATCTTTCTCGCTCTATTAGGAAATTTGGCATAGTTACTTATGAAGTCTTGTTTCACTTCCTCAGAGTTTTATCAGTGAGCATTAACCGTTAGCTTTCGATGATTCCTTTGATAGATAGTAATGCCACTTCACCAAAGTGAGTTGTGCTTTGAGCGTGAGACAGTAGATCTTGATCTTATTCATCCAACATACAGACCAACTTAAAAAAGTGGCTTCCTATTTACTTTCTCCTAAGTGTGTGCAGTTAGTAGAGGTCTGTGTAAAACTGGGTTGCTTTTCTATGGCATTCCCAGTTCCTCCCTTTTCAGTCCAGTAGGACAATAGGGGAGACTTTCATCAGTAAAAGCTATGATAAATGGCCAACGTAATTCTGGTAGTTCCAACTATTAGCCCACTTTTCCTTCTTGAAAATGTTTCCCTCGCTAGTGCTCAAGAACTGAAAAGGCAAACCCACGCTCACATACTGAGCAAAAGTTTTCAACGCTTTGGTGGTTACTTGATGGTGATTGTGAAACTGTACGCGAGGCTTCCGAGGAGGAATGATGTAGCAAGCCTGTGGGAAAACAGCTTGTTCCTCATCCTGGCGGAACATCTTTACTTAACTCGTCCTCTTTACATTCAAATGAGAGGCGAACTGTCTCAAAGTCTATAGATCTCTAACAAGTGGATAGTTTCGACAGTAGGCATAATTAAGAGCAGAAGAGATTTACTTTCATCAAAAAGTTTGGTAAAAGCGAATCAAATGGATTGTCATTTTGAGGTTACTAAAATGTAAGTAACACAAATTGTAAAAAAGCAGATGAGAATAAGGCGAAAGATTGACTTACCATTGTTAATTAAGATGTATGGGAACTTAACAAACTTAGAAGTGAACGAAGAGAAATTCAGAACCACTTCTTGAGTAAATATTCGGCTGAAGTGCTCCACGACGTTGCTTCAGTCAATCGGCTTTCAAAACAACCGTTATCATCGACGTGGGGTTGATACGATGAAACGTGGAAGTGAAACGTCAATTTTTCAGGTGACGTTGCAGGCCTCTGGTAACCATCCAAGTCAAAATAGCAGCTTAAACCAGAAGACTATTAAAATTTATTTTTTTCGCCAAGGTATGCCACAAAAAGTGTACAAATTATATTAAACTTCTAAATAAAAATAAATTATTTACTCTTTAAGGTGGTTTAATTTTTTTTTATGAGTTTATTAGCCTGTAATTAACCCAACTACTCTTTGAGTCAAGTAGTAAGAAATTAGATTTTTACCGCGTATTTTTAATTTTGCGGGCTTGTGTGGTCAGCGGAAAACATGAATGATGTTACATTTTACAATATTCATTCCTAATATGCAAACCTGCTATGGGTTTTCCTCTGATGGTTCCTCTCTAACCTCAAAAAGATGTAAAATAAATGAATTCGTTGGTAGATTGACGAAGAATTGAGAAATACATCTTAGCAGCAAGAATGAATTTTTTTATCCTAATTTAGAAATCGACGGTGTAAGTCCGCAACCACACATCTCGGTTTGCGACTCTGCAGACCTCCTATTATGCTTTATTTTATTGATGAAAAACTATTCGATACTAATTCCTAAAAATTTTTGAGATTTTTCTTCTCTGTGACATGATAATTCTTTAAAATTCAATGAACAATGCTGATTTATTCGCCTTTGAAAAAATAAAATAGGAGCGGAGATTTTCAAACACTGCAAACGAGATACTTGGTTGCGGACTTACACCGTCGAAATGCATGTTCAGATATTTCCTGCAAATTTTTTTTTCACAACATTTAGGTTTAAAAGATGGCCATTAAAGCTCGATTTTATGATTTTTCTGCAAAGGGAAAAGTCATTGGCACGGCTTGTATGACTCCTGAATCGTTCCGACAAAAATTATTTTTGGACTGACAATGAGTATGTACCTGTGCAATTGACTCTATACATAGTGCATATCACTCATGAACTGAAAAATCCTGTTCCTTTATTTATTGCTTCAACATACTCACGCTGATGTACAATTCTTATTCTGTTTAGTTGGGGGAACTCAATTAATAGTTTCGTCAATTCAATATTCAATGCAATAATTTTTTAGAGTCATGTCCATATAAACAATGGCACTGCACAATGCAAGTGCAGGCCAAAAATTTTAACTTGTTGATGACAGGACTGCTTTACAGCAAACATGAACAACTTTTCGCAAAATAACATGAAAAGTTATGGATAAAAGAAGAGGTTTTAGTTAGAATCGAAAAAAGCCAAGAGAAAGGCACGCCTTTTAATAAAACACATTTATTCATACATTCAAAATACAAAATTGTAAGTATTCTTGCCAGCTGACAAGAGGATGAGGATTAAAAAAGTAGGTATAAAAAATAGCACTTTACAATATAAAAAAGGGACAACAATTATATTAAGTTATCAAAGAAGTAAAATGATAAATTAAAAGCACTTGAGTGGCAAATCTTTAAAAAAAAACCAAAAAAACATTTAAATACCTAAGAAAAAAACCAGAAGAAATAAGAGAGATCTTCCGAAACAATGATGCACCAAGATACAATAAAACTTGAGAAAAGAACTTATGCCATAACAACCAGCATCAAATAATATGTTAATTAGACGCATTTATGCAAATGAGATCACCTACAAAGGTAACCTTTTGCAGACAGACTTCTTTCGTGTAACTGCTGCCAATTTTTATTTTTTATTTTTCAAGAAAACTCGGTCACTGGATAATTATGGTGATATATTAATGTGTAATTACATGAATTAAAAAAAAAGAAAAAAAGAAGAAGAAAAAAAAATAGTAAAACTGAAAACTTAGAGGGTAAATTTATGAAACTATTAAAGGGGAGAAAATTGCACAATAAAAATGACGGACAGATATTTCAGTTAACAACAAAACCCTGGGTAGAAAAAAGACCAAATTTAAATCAATTAAGTATGATAAGGATGTTAAATGAGTAACATCACTTACTTGAGATGCCAATTGTTTGTGTTTTGATGTTTGATTGGTCAAAATATTTCTGTTACTTCATAATAATGTAAATGAAACAATAAAGATTGTACGACTCATCAAGATTAAAATAATTGGTGGGAAGTAAAAAAAAAAACAATCATGTGCTAATCTAACCAATATAAGGATTTTCTCATTTCAAACAGATTGCATGCTAGTTCAACACAAAATTGATCAGAATATAATTAAAAATTTGGGTACAAAAGTACAAGGAACTGAGGAAGGAGAGACGGTATGCACTAGAGTAAAGCCTCATTAGTGATATTTATGGGTGGCATAAAGTAACTACGTATCTGGCCATGAAGGTTCATGATGGTCTCATCTTCTTGTTCCAACACTTTAATTTCTTGTGTGAATTGGACAATTCCTGAAACAATATTTCCAAATTAAATTGAGCCAGCAGAGAGATAGAAAAAAAATGAACCAACACCAAAGTCATGAGGAAAGTCAGGGTTTCTGTTGCAGGCCGCCAACTGACAAACGAGATCTGGTCAGGTTTTCCGAGGGATTTTTTGCCGACAAAAACAAATTCTTCGGAGAGTTGAGTATAATTACACAAATTTCAATTAGCTTAGGGATTTGACAAGTGTAGAACCTCTCGCTGCCATTCCTCTATTTTCCCTAACGCTTTATGGTCCAGTACCTTCTCTCTTGGTTACTATCTGAACTGTAAACTGATTATGTACATATGGCTAAGAAACGAATCCCAGTTGCAGACTTCCTGTCATACTTTATGTTTTCTGAGGAAACCTAGACTTGAACAGTTTGGTTACACTTTTTCTTGATTTACTTACTTATTCCATGTGTTGATTTTATTTCACAAATCATTCAAGATCTCAAGGGTAGGAAAAAAGCAATTATTCACCCTACCTACTTTTCCCCAATCTCTGGCTAAAATATATAAAAGTTCAAAGGAAGATTAGGAACTCAATTACTTATGTGGCTGGAAAATGGTCTGAATTTTAAGAAGAGTTTGGCTTTGGTTCATTAAGTATTGTAAAGAGGTGAATGTAAAATAAGTTATCAATTACTTTGTTGCTATTTTAAGTAACCACACCACTTTTTTAATACTTTCGGACTGCGCTTGAAAAATCAGTACTATTTCCGGATTCAGAGAATTTCAGACTAGGAGACAACCTGAACTTGCTTTCTAAAGTAAAAATTAAATTAAATGAAACTCATGGATGTATTATTCATCATTGAGATTCCTTTTCGACAGTGTAAGTCGGCAATCACATAAATCGGTTTGCGACGTCATAGACTTCCTGTCATACTTTATTTCTTAACTAATTAAAACTACTCAACAGCAATTCATTAAAACTGCCGTGATTATTCTTCTCTGTGCAAAGAAAATTCTGCATTAACTTCAAGGAATGATGTCAATTTGTTCTCCTTTAAAAAAAGAACATAGAGGCAGAGATGTTCAGACATTGCAAACGAGATATGTGATTGCGGACTTACGCCTTCGTTTTGTACCTGATCACTCCATGATCACGATCTGGATAGTTTAGAGAATATCGACGGCCAAACTGCAGAAATGCTAATCTTAGTTTGCGTTGCTGTAGACCTCCTTACATAGTGGCGATTCTCACAAATTGGCAAAACCGTTGTTTTCTTAAGCAAATGTACATTAAAAAATTGATTCTAGGTGAGGCAGCCTGTCTCTCAAATACTCAATATATTCAAATTAAGTAGGTATTAAGAGCGTTGCCAACTTGCTGGAATTGCAACTGTCGTGACATAAAATGTTTTTACAGGAAAAAAATACCCAATATCAATTCTTGAAGCGCTGATTTTTTTTTCTCAGTGAAGAATATGATGTGAAAATTTGAAGCAAGAGCTTGTTGGTTCTTTTTCCATTGATAAAATAAAAAGAGAGCAGAGATTTTGAAACACCGCAATCAAGATATGCGTTTTTTTAGTTTACGGTTGATATGCGATGTGAGGTAACTCAATAACAAATGTAGCTACATGCACAATGAGCATGTGCAATGAGTACCACAAAGTAGATATGTGCGCTTTTGATTGTACTGTAAGGCACTTTTGACAATTATTTTTTGCTTTGAGAAGTGCATAAATATTAATTTGCTGAGGACATTGAAAATTGAGGTTGCTGATAAGTTCCTGTGTTTTGGTATTTCTGATAGCTTCAGCATCTGGGATTTTATTTTACTTCTTGGAAAAAGAACCCCCAAAATCATGTAATTTCTTTGCCTATACATGGAAAAACAAGGGGCAGCTTTGTGTTTCTGAGAAAATCTGATGTGCCTTCAAAATAAAATGGGCAGCAATAATTTTGTACTACTAACCTTTGCGATCGTCGGAGAAACCATACTTTTTGATAACGTCCATTTGTATTTGAACGAGAATCGGGAAAACATATTGCATTGTTTTAAGCATGTCATTGCCGCAGTTCTTCTTTGCTTGCTCTAACTTAGGAGCTTGTTCATGTTTTTCAAAAGCCTCTAAAATATCCATTAAAGCAGCTGCAAGAAAAAAAAAAAAATTATAATTATTCCCAACAAAGAAAGGGCAGTCAGCATTTATACACCAACCGTGTCCAAATCAGTTTTAGGACCTTGATTATAGGGAGGTCCAAGCATACATATTTTCTACCATTCACAAAAATATATAATTTACTTACTGTAATGCTAAGTATTGAGGACACACAAAAACATTTCAAGGAAGAGATATTTTCTTGTTCATGGCACGGATGTGCAGTTCCAAATTGTTCTAAGTTATTGAATTTCTACGACTGACAGTCAGCTGTTCTATTTTTAGCATTCTTGACAGTATTCAAAGGTAAGTTCTCAGTTAAAAATGAAAAGCTTTATGGTGACAGTAGCAGGGTGTCTAGTTTTTTTTTCATTTTGGGAAATCCTGATTTTTGACTGCTAAATCCTGATTTCATAATTTTTTCCAACTCTGATTTTTTGCGGAGAAAAATTAGGTGAATGTAACTTCACAAAAACAGCTCGATAAAAAAATCCACTCGGACGGCCGACTTTCCTCGGATCCTAAATGTATGATAGATTTTTCCTCAAAGCCTAATGAAATCGGGAATGAATCCTGATAGAATTAGGAAAATCCTGATGCTAGATACCCTGAGTAAAGACGTTTGAATTTCTTTTTTATCATCAGTCAAAAGTATTCAAAGGCTCATTTCTTGATAACTCATAGCTTTCAGGGCTGCTGGGTCTCACAGTTTGATATGAGATGTGCATGGGCGTAGCAAATTTTCTTACAAGAGAGGGAAGAGGTAGGAGAAGCGTGGAACCCTCTTCTCTCCAAGGAGCTCAAGATGTATTGAATGGCTACAGGAGGTCAGAATTTTCCCGAGGCAAGCTAGGCTCCTCTTTCAATACCTATGTGAAAATTTCACTCTTTAAATGCAAATCAAGCAACCCGTAGGTCAGAACTAACACAGAAAGAATACCCATTGTACTTAACTTAAATTTTGTTTGATAAGAACCTTCAATACAAGAAATAGTGCTTTATCGGAGTGCATGCGTTTGCTACACTGATGCATACATACTTGTCAATTCTTGGGCAAGTCCAATGTTTTCAATTTAGTTACTTCAGACATGAACAAGAAATATCTTTGACTTGACAGAGGGGCTTCAGTTAAGAGACCAAATTCTGTCTTCGGAAGGTCTCATTGCTGGAAATGAGAGTGAAAACAAGTCAAACTACAATCTAAAGGTGCTCCTTTTAAAGGATCAACACTAAATGTTTGGAATCATGTAGGTATCTGTGAAACTTTTTTATTATTCAGAAAGCAGCGGAATGCGATGGATCACCCTAGTGCTTCTGCTGTCAGGATAGTAGTCCAAGCAATCTGGTCATGGCAGAACTCATTCTTCTATGAAGGATATGCTTTGCAGTTATACTTCACTGGAATTAATTGTAGTCTCCGGAGATGAAGATAAGAGGCCACATGACTTCACCTATTATTTTCCCTTTCGATCTTCAAAAAGATCCGACATGATGGGCGCAAAATGGATTTGCAGATGATATGATATAAAGGTGAGATTGAAGTAATTACCTTTAGCCGTTTCAACATCAAACGTTGACGAATCACCCATAGTCACTCGTTGATGTTTATTTAAATGAGAAAGGATAAATAATGAGTCAGGACCGCAAAAGTCTTACTAGTTTAGTTCTTTTTTCTGCACATCAACTACAAGATAACCTCTCATTTTTGTTTTCATGGGAATTCATTGTTCTTAGGTGCCAAAATGTTGCCAAATTGCTGAAGATTGACTTAGTTCGTTCCGTTTATTCCGCGTTTTAAATGACAGGAATTTTACGGCAAATTCCGAACCAGGCGTTTTGATTGGATAAGACCGGTTCATTCCGAATTTTCCTTATTCGAACCGAAACAGCGGGAAATTTAAATTACAGCGGATATCCCCTTAATTTACGCGTTTCCGGTCAAGTAGATTTGACAACATTGTCTGCCGGAAACGGATTTGAATTTCCCGCGCTTTTGAGTGCTGGCTGTGCTGCTCTCTGGGAGATTTAAAATCAACTAATTTTTCCCGCTCTTTTGAGGGCTGATTTGTGCTGCCCTCTATGAAAGAAAAGTTGAGATGAATAATTTTAAATTTCCCGCTCTTTTGAGTGATGACTAGTGCTGCTATCTGGGAGAATTAAAATCAACTAATTTTTCCCGCTTTTTTAAGGGCTGATTTGTGCTGCCCTCTATGAAAGAAAAGTTGAGATGAATAATTTTAAATTTCCCGCTCTTTTGAGTGATGACTAGTGCTGCTATCTGGGAGAATTAAAATCATCTAATTTTTCCCGCTTTTTTAAGGGCTGATTTGTGCTGCCCTCTATGAAAGAAAAGTTGAGATGAATAATTTTAAATTTCCCGCTCTTTTGGGTGATGATTAGTGCTGCTATCTGGGAAAATTAAAATCAACTAATTTTTCCCGCTCTTTTGAGGGCTGATTTGTGCTGCCCTCTATGAAAGAAAAGTTGAGATGAATAATTTTAAATTTCCCGCTCTTTTGGGGTGATGACTAGTGCTGCTATCTGGGAGAATTAAAATCAACTAATTTTTCCCGCTCTTTTGAGGGCTGATTTGTGCTGCCCTCTATGAAAGAAAAGTTGAGATGAATAATTTTAAATTTTCCGCTCTTTTGGGGTGATGACTAGTTCTGCTATCTGGGAAAATTAAAATCAACTAATTTTTCCCGCTCTTTTGAGGGCTGATTTGTGCTGCCCTCTATGAAAGAAAAGTTGAGATGAATAATTTTAAATTTCCCGCTCTTTTGAGTGCTGCAGACTCTTGCTGCCTTCTGGAAGCATTTGAGTTCATTATGTTTTCCCGCTCTTTTGAGGGCTGACTCGCACTGCTCCTAGGAGCATTTCAGTTAAACAGTTTTAAAGTTCCCACGCTTTTAAGTGCTAATTGGACTGAGTTAAGCAGAAAGGAACCAACCCACATTTTGGAAAAAATTGAGTTATGAGTGGTTTTGAGCTCCGCCACTGCTCTACTATGTATCGCCAAAAATTCAAAGTTTTTGTTGGAGCAAATTTTGCAGAAATTGAACTTGAAATATATCTTTTACATTGAGTCTTATGCAGGAGCCAAACTTTAAACCTCTTTTTCTCGGTTCGATCCCGATGTGGCTTGGTTCCTTTCTGTTTAACTCCGTCCAATTGTGCTCTCTGAGAGCGGCTCTTCTATGATAAGTTGAGATAAACAGTTATAAAATTCCCGCTCTTTTGAGGGCTAACTCGCACTGCCCCGGGGCGCATTTGAGTTAAACAGTCTCATCTCCCACCTAAAAACTCAGGCTCCCTCAGTTATGTGGTTTATTATACACAAATTTATTTTCGCCTTAGGCGTTAGAAGGGGGTGGGCAGGGGAGCAGCCTCCCCTAGAATTGAAAATAGTATCACCTCTCCCTCCCTCCCCTAGAAATTCTGGCCGGAAAGGCCTCGGGAGACAATGATTATATCTTTTAATTTGGAGATGAAAACACTGTGTCCATTCCGTTAGTATCTTCTGAAGTTTTCATCATGGATAAGCCTTAAATGCGTCCAAACAGATTTGAAATTTCAAATAATTTCCAGATGTGTCGAATGCAACAATTTGGAAGTATTTTGTGCTGAAAGTAGGAAAAAAGCGTATTTTTTTTTTTTTTTTTTTTTTTTTTTTTTTTTTTTTTTTTTTTTTTTTTTTTTTTTTTTTTTTTTTTTTTTTTTTTT